GTCTGGCGACCTGCGGATTGTGTTTCTTGTGTGGATTGAAGTAATTTATTTGGATAATAATAATAAATCATAATTGGATTAAAATACCTTTTAAAATCCTATGGAAAAATATTTTGGCTAAGTAGACCTAAGTTAAGTTTCTTTAACTGAGCTCAGAAACTGACAGTGAAGCGTTGATCAGTGATATAAAAGCTCAGAAAAGAACATGCCTGTTTTGTCAGATTCTGAGTGTACCTTTTATAGAGAAGTTTTAGTAGTGTAAGAAGGTCTCCAAGTGTATTTCTCTTCCCTAGAACAGAATGTCTTTAGCCTGCTTGGCAGTATTTGGTGTTTCCTTTGTAGCCTAATAAATGCTGTAGTTCCTATGCTGAACTGGGTAGAAAATACAGAAATGTTATCTTAAAAAATTAAGCAAGAAATGACAGTGTGTTGAACAAGAAATAGCAGAAAGTTTAAAAAATAGTAAGGAAGTATACATCAGGTAAGTAGTCTAAGAAAAGCAAAACAAAATCCATAAGGCATTCTTTGGGAGTGCTCTGAGAGTAACTTCGTTATTGTGACAGAAATCTAAAACACTGGGAAGAAGCAGGGAGTAGCAAGTGGGGACCACAGGATTTCATCTGCTGTATTTATCCTGCAGCTCTTCTGCTACCCACTTTTACTTCAAAGTGTTCAGAAACCATTCTGAAAGAGTAGTCAGTTCCTGGAACCAGTAGACTTCTGACATTAAACTTTGGTGCCAGAGAAAATGTGGCATTATATGTCCTTCTACACTGTTATCTTTATAGAGACATTTTGGAAAGGAAGAAAATTGTGTTTTTTAAAATGGCATATAATCAAAATGCTTATTGTAAAATGCACGTTCTCATAAGATTAATATGTAGATGGTATTTAAACATTTTATTTAGTAGAAGTGCAAAAATTATCTTTTAGCCAAAATAGTCTTCTCTAAGCAGGCTGCTGCTTTTGCAAAGCTTTGCGAAGCTGTGAAGGATACATTTCTCCACAAAAACTTTACAGACTCTTTATTTGCAGCTCCTCTCCAAGATAACATGGCAAACCCCAAAGAGAAAACTCCAATGTGTCTGGTAAATGAGTTAGCCCGTTTCAATAGAATTCAACCCCAGTATAAGCTCCTGAACGAAAGAGGGCCTGCTCATGCCAAGGTAAGGTCACAGCTCCAGGTGCTGAGCCACACCTTAAATGCTGAACACATAATGTCATGGTCTGGACGAGTGCACTTACCAAACACAGCCACATTTCTAGTCTGAGGGGTTTCTTACTGGTCTTTATTTTGTCCCTTTTATTTTTTTTTTTCACACTTTGAGAAAGTGTGTCTGTATTTCTGTTGAAGATCTGTAATTCATTTTGTGCCTTACTTTGACTTCCACCTTTGAGTTTGTATTTGTTGGTCTCTATAAAGACCTCGTGAAGGTCTTTCCAGGATACCACCACCCTTTCTTAATCATTATGGAGCATTTACTCTTTAAGCTGCATGAATCCTCCCCAGTCAGTGTGCATCTGATAACTGCTTCTGCGTTTGTTTCCTGGTAGTGCAGATGACACCAAAGCTCATGTGTGCCATTTCATTTTTTAATGTGCTTATTGGTATGGTTCTGCATCCAAAAAGTTGGTTGCATTGATACTGTGTTTTTCGACCTTGCATAATTCTCACTGATGGTGTCGTGTATTTATTTTACTACCTTTGTTCCATTATTGTGAAAAAAGATGAGCTTTGATTGTGTCAGACTAAAAAAGATTGGGTTTAGCTGTTCATATTCTTCAACAGTAAAGAAATTTGAGGTATGTTACATTCTTACTATACTTGAAATTTTAGCAGGGTAAGAAATAGTTCACATACATTTATTACTTTTAAAGCAACTAATATATAAATTACTTGAGCTTGCATTAGCTGCAGTTTTGAAAGCCATATTTTTAATTAATATATTATTTTTTTCAATTTTTCAGTTTACCTCTTAATATTTTTACAGTCATACTGGTCAAAAAAAAAAAAAAATATGTGCTCTGTAGACTCAGAAGAATATTAAGTCTGATTTTGACCTGTGCAGCAAATGAGAAAAACAGAGAGGGAAAGGGGATGAAGAACAAGGGTGATGTTAATAATCGCAGAATGTCAGGGGTTGAAGAGACCTCTGGAGATCATCAAGTCCAGCCCCCCTGCCAGAGCAGGACCATCTAGTCTAGGGCAGGTCATACAGGAACAAAGAAGCAATGGCAAGAGAAAGTGGGTGGTGGCGCAGAGAAGAGGGAAGGGGAAGGGCTGAGGGACATAGCACATCAAAGGACCGTGAAGGAGAGGAGGTTCTATGTGCAGAAAAAGTGAGGGGGAAAGAATTGCCAGAGCTGATGGAGGCTGACCTTAGGAACAGAGCGGAGTGAAAACAAGCACAAAGTGTGGTGGCCTTTGTATTTCTGCTCTCTGGCCATCAGGTAAATCAGGTTGGACAGGAGGAATACAAACTTCCCCAGAAAATTAGTGAGAAATTCCTCTCAGCCTGTAGCAGTATTGCCTGCTCTGGTCTTGCAGAACTTGAGTACTTAATTAGCTGCTCCAGATTTTGGGCTTAGGCAGTTTTATTCCTTTCATTAAACTCCTATCTACTACTACGCGTGGGATTTTTTTGGTTAGATGTGGTAAGTGAGAAAGTTTGAGCTCTGGCTGTATAAATTTACTGAGCAAGCCCTTTATAGTTTTGATTTTGAACAATCCTGTTCGTTGGTCTGAGCACTAAGAGGAGAGTTACAGGTAGTTAAGTGGCCATTAGTCATTGTATTTTTATTGAAGTTTAGTATTGCCCTCGTATAAAAATACTACACTGATGCTTTGTGGCAAAATATAAAATATATAACCTCCAGATACAGCAGTCAAATTCCAATTCTTTTAGTAGAAAGGATGTATATTTGTAACTAATTCGTGGGTTTTTTTTATATATTTAGCTCTAATACCCAGCTTAGCTTTCAGATGGGGTAGGGTTTGACACACCACATCATTAAGAGACTGTTTCTCTCTTCTCCCTTGTCTGTGAGGAACTTGTCATGACCGCTGTGGAAAAAATGAAATAGTGATAGGAACTGTGATACAGGGACTTGCATTATGCCTTTGAAAATTCCAGTAGGCCAAAACTCAAGGCTGTAATTAAAACAGAAGTATGTACCTATAACGTTGAGTTCATGTGCCCCGTGTGTGTGTGTATAGGCCTGGGTCGGGAGGCACACACATACCTGTGTTCAAATACTTGTTTGCAAATACATGGTAAATGAAAATGTATGCAAAGGCATATTTAAATATCATGCCCATCTCTAGGTATCTAGTCCTAGATCTAGCAAGCTTAAATAATTTTTAAAACTAGAGTGAAGGTAACTATCAAAATGAAAATTGATTTCCTGCTCACACTAACATGCAGATTTCTTTGTTGCCTCAAGTTAGTCTGTTTTCTGAGCTGTGTGTATCTTAGTTTGCTGTGTGTATCTGACATCAAATCCTGCCTTAATATATGGAACTGATACAGACAAGACGTTGAGTTATTACCCTCGATCCTCTTGTTCTTCCATGCTTAAGTCTAAACAGAACATGTATGTATCGTACAGAGGACAGACTACCTAGCAGTATCTTACAGTTCTCTCTTCACTAGAGAGCACATTAAAAACCTGCAGTTTCATTCAGAAGGGTAGTACTTCTTTCTTACTTTATGTTTTTGAACATATTTGAGTTGTGACTGTCCTAACAATATACATTATTTTCAGAAATCAGGTTGTGTGACAAGTTCTTTCACTGGGTAGAACTATTTGGGCCAAATTCTCCACTGCCTTGAAGAGTGTTCAATCATTTATATTATTTCAGAATTACTACAATTTTTTTTTTCAGTAGCATTCATCACCTGTTTTATACAGGTACAAATGCTCTTTACCTGTTTACTATAGGTGGAGTGACTAAAAGCATTCAAATGCATGAAGAAATGTGGTCTTAACTGACCTGTATATAATCTTCCAAGAGCAGAGGATCAATCTGCAGTCATTATTACTTGGTTTAGAAATTATTCTGTTCTTTGATTGTTGATATGAACATTACAGTATTTTACTTTGTCATTTGAAAGGCCAAATGGTGCCCACTGATAAGGACTCGCTGATCACTGTGAGAAACAAATGTGTTACCTGGGAGTTGAATATGATGAAAAGAGAGCATGCTTTCAGTCCTACAAGCTATTGTATGGATTGGTCTGACCCACAATGATAATCTTGCCAGTGTTTACCTGTTCTTTGTCTTTGAAGATGTTCACAGTGCAGCTGACTCTTGGAGAACAGACATGGGAGGCCGAAGGAAGCAGTATTAAAAAAGCCCAACATGCTGCTGCTAGCAAAGCCTTGAATGAAACTACCCTTCCCAAACCAACGCCTAGACCACCCAAAAATAATGTTAACAATAATCCAGGTATGACATTTTCCTCTCTGTGTTAAATCTTGTTGAAGTGTTGGAATATTACACCATTAATGAATAAATTTAGCAAGGTGTAAGTTAAGTTGGAGGGTAAGAATCAACATAGCTGTCTGATAGGTATGACAGTATAATGAAGTAGCCCTGGGAGTTTGCACAGGAGAGTTTTTAATGCTAAAAATGCATGAAAAAAGGTTTTAATGTTTAAAATGACTGAACTCTTAAGTGAATATATTTTTTAGATAAGGCTTTGATGTATTGGTGAGTGTATGTGCTCAACAGTGGGCAGACAGGACAAAACCAGGTTGAATTGACCATTTTTATTGTGGTAGAACACTTTCTTAAAATGGAGTAACTTTGTGGATAGCCTTCTCTGTGTTGGGGAAAAAAGCAAGAGTAAATTTCCTGTAGAACTTGTGAGTATTATTGTGAGCATTAGGCATTAAGGCTGGCTCGAGTGTAGTGTAGTGGTGTTCTCTTGCTCCCCTGGAGGTCAGCACGTCGCTTCTCCAGAGCCAGGACACTGGTTTTGCCCAGTGTTCTTCACAGTCACCGACTTCGACTGCTTAGAAAGAAGGAGGCTCAGACCTATGTGAAAAGGGATCCTGGATTGGATTCTTGGCATTGCAGAGTACTACTCAGCTTCTAGATTTTTTTTGGCTCTGAGCATATTCTTAAAGGGAAAAGCTGATAACAAAAGAAGTAGACTTTTCAAAAATGAATGTAAAAATGTTATCACTTTACCCTGTAATTTTGCTCCAGGAAAGGTGTATTGTACATGCACAGGTATCTTCTCATCAGAGTGATATCCTGCATTTTTATTACATAGTTGAGTTCATAGTCATTCCTTGCTCTGTAAAACATAAAAATTGTTGATAGAAGTTTTTGGATACATATTGTTTAAAAATTTTCATCATGTGGCAAACAAAGCCTCAGTGGTGGATGGGTTTAAAGCTACATTCGTTTCGACCTCTTATGAAATTATTTTGAGAAAATATTAACTCCTTTTGATTAGAATGTACATTTAGCTTATATAGGTTTTCTTAAAACAGCGTAAGTGGGGAATACTGTAGCTGGGCATTTTATTTAAAAAAATAAGTAAACAAGCAAAGTCACTGTATAGCTTTTTATCTGGAGACCATGCAGGTAGGCAAGTGCTGGCTGTTGGGGTTTGTGCTGTGTCAGCAGTAGATGGCAGCAGTGACACTGATTTCCACTAACTATTTCCAGTTTCTTAGATCATTCCTGTTAGATCATTAGTTTTTACTCATAGCCTTAAGTTTTCAAGTCTTGCAAATAAGAAGTTTTCTTTTTGCAAGATTACCAAACAACTTCAGTAATGTCTGGTACTGCTTTCTTGTTTCAATGCCTCTGTGCTCTATTTGTGGTTTTATTTAATACTATTCTGTGGGAAGATATATTATTCTTTTATCTTTATAGTTTCAAAAAGTATCATAATATGTTACAAGGACTTTGGAAAGATGAATAACTGGCTTGATTATAGCACTGACTTTCATTCATACTATTCTGCGTAGAGAATGCACTGAGATAAATGTTTAAATGTTCTTTTTCATTGCTTGTGATTAAGTTGGGACCTATGTTCCTATCTTTTAGAGAAACTGAAATTTCATCATAGTTGTTTCTTTTTTAATTGAAGACAAAAAAAAAAAAAAAAAAAACCCGAACGTGCTGCTCATCTCAGTCCTGCTTGTGTGTTTTGCAGGATTTGTGGTTTAAGTGTATTTTGTGTTTTGCAGGTAGCATAACTCCAACGGTGGAGCTGAATGGTCTGGCTATGAAGAGAGGAGAGCCTGCCATCTACAGGCCTTTGGATCCAAAGCCAATTCCCAATTACAGAGCAAATTACAATTTCCGGGGCATGTACAATCAGAGGTTTGTACTTTCTGTTGTTTGAGGGTTTTTATCCTTTGCTTATCAATGTGTTCCAAATCTTTATGAATTTCTTAGGTTAGTGCAGAGTAAAATAAAACTAATATTTTTACTGAGAGTCTCTGCAGCCTTATTTAGAAACATGCATAATTGTTTCTAAAAGCAGAGCGGTGCCCTAGGCAGGTCCCCAGGAATGAGGACCTGTAAACCAGCTGCTCCTGGTTTTCCAGTGAGCACACTGGAATTGCAGCCTGCAGCCCTGGCAGTGAGGACATGAGGCATGAACTTCAGCAAGAGGTTTTGCTTTGCTTTTGTGTCCTCTGATTAGAATCTGTATCTTTAAAAATGAAGCACTCTTCTCTTGGAAATTGGATATGAAATTAAGAGGGCTGCATTTTAAAAGTTGACCCATTTTTCCTTATTCTTCCACAGAGAAATTATAGTAGATCAGGTCTTTTGGAGCTCCAAAAGTGATATCAAGTGTAATCTGTAAAATAAACAAAACCACCCCAAACAAACAACAACAAAAAACCAGGTCAGGAATTTCAAATAGCATGTTTTATCAGTGGAAAATGTTGCCTCTCTTACAAGGTCTTGCTTAATCGATTTCCTGTTCGTTTTTCTGCATCTCATAATTATAAAAAAAGAATGAGGTTCTGAACTCTGAAGTGTTTTGATTCAAAATTACTCTTTTATTAGAAACTGAATTTACAGCAATGTTTAAAATTAAGGAGTTAAAATGCAGCATTTCAGAATTGTCTAAGGAAAATAGTTCAATCGACTCAATCTTATTTTACTTTTCCCCAGATTTTTAAATCATGATAACTTCAGGGTTTTAAATTTCGTTCTGATTTTTTTTTTTTTTAAACAGCAACAGCACCTGGAAATGTAAAAGGCAAAAATAAGTTGGAAGAAAACTCTCGTTACTGTACAGAACAGTGCCTGATTATTGTACTGCTTGTTATATTTCCAGTCACTGCTGTCTTTGCCTACATACATCATGGCTTAAAAAGCTAATTATGGTGCCTGAAATGAGTTTTGCTAATATTTAGAAATCCTACAATTTTAAAAATTACTTTTATAATGAAATTAGCTTGACTAACAGATCAAAAGGCTACACTGGAAAAAAATGCAAGTTAGGAAAAGACCCATAAAATGGGGAAATCTGGAATCTGAACTTAGTTACTGAACCATTTGTGGAAGCAGAGCCCCAAATGCTTGGCAGTCCCTAACTTTTTAGATTTTTTTTTTTTTTTCATAGAAAGTTAGTTCTTCTAGTGCAACCTTTAAGTTTGCTTCTCTGGGAACTTTCTTTCATGGGAACTGTGTTCTCGTCTTAGGGTAAAATGGTACCTGAGCTGTATTTCTGTGGGCACATTAGGTAGCCCAGGGCATTTGATTTTTCAGATCACAAAACAAATGGGCAGCTGGGGACAGAAGGCCAGAATCTGTGCCTGCCTGCTTCATTGTGCTTACCTGGGTGTAGCTGTCCACGCAGGACAGCTAATAATATTGTGGCTAGTAAACTGATGAGTAACTAAACCTAAGTGGTAAGGAGCTGGGTGTGCCTGCCCGTCTGCACAAGCACATACCCTCTGTGCGTGCACCAGCTCAAACACCAATCCCAGGGTGAAGAGGAAACAGAAGAGTGATGCCATATAGTACTGTTTTGGGACTACTCTTCTGCTGGAGATAATTATTCATTTGCATGTGTTGCTTTGAGAGGTGCTGCGCTGTTATAATCCCAGTGAAAAAGTCCCTTAGACTCTGCAAGGCGCCCTGTCAAATGCTGTTTATTGGGGCTGGCTGAGCGAGAGCAGCGCGGTGCGGGTCACCTTCCACGCCCGCCCCTGGGCCTGAGCAGTGCAGCAGCAAAGGGGGCTGCAGAGCACGTGCAGCTCGCCGTGCAGGCCCTGGCCACAGCAGAGTCTGCCCTCCTCACTCACTCACCCTCTCGCAGGACTTTCCTACAGGGGGACAACTCTGTCCTTACTGGCCTCAAAAGGGGACCGATGTTCAGAGGAGAAGCTCTCTGTGCTGTTAGGTGAAGGCAAGGCCGTGCAGGTGGCATGGAGGGGAGCTGCCCATGAGCCCCTCCTGCATACCCAAACTCCAGCCATGCAGGGGAAACTTGTGCTCTTCAAGGAACAGGCCTGTGTCACATCATGTGGGTGTCTTAGATACATGACTGCATCTTGCAAAGCTTTGTCTGTCACGTTTGTGTTTGAGGGATTTAAGAGGTGTAATGATAAAGATGTTTGCTGGCTGACTTTGGAAAAACTTCTGTGTTACCTGTCTGCCCCCCAAACTTTTAAACAAATAGGCAAAAAAAACCCTTTTGGAAGAAACTTTAAAAACTGTTTGAAATTAGAAACTGAGAGTTTGCTTAGAATAGGTTATGTCTCCTTAAATACACTGTAATTTCATTCTGAACAGCAGATACAGATTGGAGAGAGTTAAAATGTAGGGAAGGGAAGAATAGTCCTGAGAGTAATGTGAGTGATTGTTCAGTGAGCAATGTAACTGTTCTGGAAACGGCTGATTTAGGCCGTTAGATGGCAGCATGAATTTGTGTTTTGGTGCAAGGATGTCCCAGCAGAAGCACTCTTTCAAAAGCTGGCTTTTCCTGTTCTGGAGCTTTTAATTACATTAAGATGTCGTAATTCCAGCATAAATAAATAAAAACAGGTTTGCTACGAAGCCTTGTACATCACACTGTTATTGGTCTGCTGCTGTACCAACGTGATGGTGTAATGATCCACGCCCAGAGCTTTTCATGAGTTCTTGTGTTTATCTTCTGCGTGCTGCATTTCACTTCTCCTGGCCTGTTTGTTCCCACTCGTTGCCTGCCTCCCACGCAGACGCATTGTTATAAGGAAAGTGTTGAGTACAGCTGTGCTAGGATTTTTCTCTGCTGGTGTTTGTTTCTAGGAAGGGAAAAGGGATAAAGTCAGCCTGTTTCCTGTTGGTTTAAAACACAGAAACATCTGTTTGTCTTAAGACCGTTTTCCCAAAAGAACGGTGGCGAGGGAGCTTGCAGGTGATGAGCTTTGACATTGCCAGTAGCTATCAGTTTTGACAACAGTGATTAGTATGGTTGGCTTAAAAAAACCATAAAAATTCCATAAACGACAGAAGATATTTATTCCTGCAATAAAATTTTTGACAGCTAATGTTTAATTTCTGTAGTGGTTTAAATCGTAAAAATATATAGAGTATCTGGGGTCTGAAAATCCAGATTCTGCTGTAGAATCTATAGACTCCAATAACATTTGGTCCTAAAGTGATTTTTTTTCTGCAGTCCCTTCCCTCTGTTGTGGTGAATTTCCACAGTGCTCATAAAATAGTGTTAGGTGATGTGTACAGGAACAGCATGCCCATAATCCTTCCAACAAATGCATCCTGTCGCTGCCATCCACGGCAGTAAGGGGTGCATTTAACCTATCAGGGATCAATAAAATATATATGCTTAAGTGTATTTACAGTATTGCACTGACAGCTGTTAAAATAATGTGGTGTAGATGAAGAATCAAGCTGACAGACTTGTCGGCTGTAGACTGGAAAGCAAGCTTTGTATCTGTAGTATGGCCAGTACAGTGTCTCTTTATTCGCCCAGTCCAGGTACTTACCTGGTGTAATTAAAAGCTTTTTCACCTTAGCTGCAGAGCACATGGGTGTCTCATCACTCTGTACTGAACTGGGAACATGAGGCAGGGGCATTTTACACTATTGCAGTGTTCTAAACCGTCTTCATTCAAAATTAAGTAGTTTTGTCCTCTGGGACCTATTGATAGAGGAGCTCCTAACACCTAGTACTCTCTTCTTCCCTTAATTAGCTCATGTATTGGCTGTTTCTTCTGAAGCTCCCTTCGGTGGACAGCATTCTTTTCTTTAGATTTTTAGCATCCTTAGAGCTTTCTCTGCCCTGGAGAAGGTACATCTGGCTCCAGATCTGATTTTAAAAGTGTCAGCCATGACTTTTGTTGTTCTCACTTAGGCTGAATGCATAAAGACATGAAATGCAGATCCTCAACATCTTTGATTTCTTAATTTCTTGGTGTCTTAATGTCTGTCTTCTAACACTACTCTTCCACTTGGGAGAGTTCCTGTTAATCTTCTGATGTAATGATCTTCAGAGCCAGCAGCCTGCCCCAGCCCCTTGTGAACCTCTTCAGTCTGCTGTCTTTGCAGCTCACTGTCATTTCTGCAGAACTGGTTGTTCTAAGGCAGCTTTACTTTCAGGATACGGACAGGAGGCTGTTGTTGATGGTGTGTATAAAAATACACAGTGATTCAGAATGCTCTTCCAGGAGCAGGAACATTATTGGGTGTTTCTTTCTTTCTGCACTTAGCTTTGTATTCACCCATATCTTTTCCCTGTACTTCCGTGAGCTGAGGATATTTCAGCTGAGAGTCCATGAGACTGTAGATCCAGTGAAAGCAAGCCTAGGTGGGCTCCTTTCATGTTATGGCCTTTCTGCCATACCCAGAACCTGAACATTGGTTACCAGTAGAGATGTTCTCTTTCCTTTGCTGTTTTTATTTTTGGTAGTGATGCTGGTGGACTGCTGTCAGAGCTCAAACATTACTTTGAGGGGCTGTCATCATTTTCTGAAGAGAAGCAAGCAGAAAGAAAGTTGGTGGTTGATTTTTGACATGCTATGATCTGACTGGAGCTGTACTCTCCTAGTCCAATGTCTTTCTCAGTTTTGAACTAAGAGTTCTGCCACAGATTGAGGTAGTATTAAATTTTCTCAGGAACAGTTTTCAGGATTCTTTTATGATACCTTGGGCGTAGTGATCATGAAATGGTAGAGTTTTTGATTCCCAGAGAAGTAAAACTGCCGTGCTGGACGTCCAGAAGTCAGACTTTGGCCTGTTTAGGAGCACAGTTGACAAGAGTCCCTTGGGGGAGAGTCCTGAAGGGCAAAGGAGTCCAGGAAGGCTGGACCTTCTTCAAGAAGAAAGCCCTGAAGGCACAGGAGCAGGCTGTCCCCATGTGT